TGTTATACTAAAAAAAAAAGTTATACTCAATATTAAAAAGTCTTGCAGAATACAAATATTTAACATTCATTCTAATAAATGACAAGGAATGTTCCTGATCACTCTGAATATCTGAGATGTAAACATATTCACTTAAAAGCTTTAAACTGAACAATTGAGCACCTACTATCTGCTAAGAATGACTCCCTTGGATACAGACACTATTATATATTATTAAAATACCTTTTAAAAATAAACATAACATTTCTTAAGATTCCATACTAATATTCTTTAAGCAGTTTTTTGATAGCTCTTCAAAGTTCTGTTGATTTTATTCAATAATTTAAACACACAGTGACAGTACATATTTTATATCCCAGCAGTAATTTCCAGAAAAGAAGAGCTATTAGAGTAATACACTTTAAAAAATAAAACCATACGCCTCTGTAGGAGTTTGAAGCATTAAAAAGGGTATACTATTCTTAGAAATCAACTTAATAAATTACAGTTTCACTAAGACCACCATGGTATGTACTGAGACTTTTTCCTAACTTATTAATTGGCTCTTTGCCTCACTTTTTCATTTTTAGAGTCAAGAATTTCTAGGGCTTACTGTAGTATATAGGGTAAAAATTCTCTGGTTGGAAGCTGTGAGGAAAATAGACAAGGCAAAATTGTAGAAGAGTTATCAGAGAGACCTAAAGAGTTGAAGAGAAATGAGAAGCCCTGTAAAGGTTCTAAACTTAAATTGAGATCAAAGGAATCCTATAACTTATACTGACAACAAAAAAGAAACATGATCAAAACACAGTCTCTAAAAATAAAATTTGCTCTCCAATTATGTTATGATTTTCTACAGATCCATTTAAACAGATAAACAACTAATCCCTCAAACTTAGCCACCCTAAGAACAAAGACCTTTTGACTAGCTTTGCCCCAAGGGCCAAATGTTTCAAAACTCTCTGTGAACAAAAATTATGCCTCACCTTTTAATAAATTTGCCTCGACAATGCAAAACACAGTCAACTGGAGTACACAAGAATCAAAAGCAAACATTTACAACCATGTTTTTTATAAAGGGCAATATACAAACAAATAAATAAAAAGCCAGACTCATTTTATAGGGACCAGAAACATATCAAAAGAAAACAAAAAGAAACAAACCTCAAAGCAATGAAACAGGCCAGTATGAAGAAAGCGCATACAAGTGAAGGCATCTTTTCTCATAATTTCCAACTCTGTATTGTTTCTTTGAAGCCAAATAAATCCAAATGCCTTATATGTCTAGACTTGATCAAGGTCAAGATCAACAAAAACACATGTATAGACAGCATTCCCTCCTATGACTACATAAACCAAGTTTTCCTGGGAGTATACTTATTTCCTACATTAGGTAGTAAGTTTAAAGTACCAACCCTCTGATCTTAACCCACAGATCTTAATCACTTAGTCTATAAATGTGCAATCTTTACAAAGCAGTTGAGGATCTGAATGAAATGCTCACTCAGAACATAATACAAATGAGTAATGACCCCAAATCCCTACACAAACCCTCCCACTACCCACAAACATTTCATCTTAAAACATTTCAAAGATTTTAAGCAAGGCAGTGTGTTCAGTCTTCCATGATGAAACTGCCTAAGCTAATTTCTAATATTTTGTAAATCAGAAATTATCAGTCTAATTCACACAAGCTTCATAAATTCTCTTATTTCACTGTAAATATTTTAGAGCAGAATTTACAAAGGAATAAGAGAATCATTAGAGAGTGGATCCTCTCCAACCTCTTTAAGCAGTACTGGATTGAAAGGCACTCATCTTCCAGTTGCTCCACAATCATCAGAATGGTCACTAAACACCATTAATAACCCACTCATATCTCATTGCTTACTTCAAGCCAAAAAAGATCGACCTCCCACTAGACAGATGAATTCTAATCATTCACACTTTTAAAGTTAAGTGACATCATTTCGTTTTCTGCCCAGATCCAAGGCCCTATTATGATATGGTTTTTATTTAAAGTCCCACTAAAACAGACTAAATTTCACATCCCATAGCGAGTAAATAAATGGACATGTTTGGCAAAGAACAATATCAAGAGCTAGAGCTTTACTTTTTTACTTACATAATTGTGACAGTATAAGACAATTACAAGGCAGCAAGGCACAGAGCTCTGCTTTATCAAACACACAACCAACTTACAAAATTCCTAAGGAACGCTTAAATATATGGGGAAAATGGATGCAAAATATGATAGTGAAAAGAACAAGCATCTCCACACCCAGTGAAGTAACAGGTTTAGGCTTGTTTGTACAGCTCCCTAAAAATTAATTTGAAAGAGTACAAAAACCAAAATTCACAAAATTGTTCAAAAGTTCAATGAGAAACGTTCTACTGTAGATTAAAACATCGATTCTTACAAAATAGGCTGTACTTGCACACTAAATATTTTAATTTACTTTAGCTTATTGAATGAAAAACGCTTGGATTAAACCAAACAAAAACTATTATTTGCCCCCTGATAATTTTTTTATATGTAAGAGCACCTGACCTCACTGCTGAAATTTCTAAATAAAAACACCTGAGTGCTTTTTAGTTTTTGAAACGTGGTGTCATTTTACTTGTCTCTCAGGAGAAACCCATAAAACTAATCAACTAAAACACAGCATTGCAATTTGCAGTAAAATCGACACATCTTTGTAAACGGTTTGGGGAGGTGAAAAAAGGCCCAGCCTTTTCATGTAAACATAATAAGCCTGTAATATGCTGCAGACAAACGCACTGCAAGGGGTGTGGAGGACCCGAGCTGATTAGATTACCACAACATCAGCCTGGGGCCGCCATTTTTAGAATCTGTAAAGGACAAAAGAGGGAAATTTCACTTTTTACCGGCCATCTAGGAAATTAAAGGAAAAAAACTGACTGTTTTCCAATTAGGTATTGATGTCTCCAGCCTAGAGCTGAATGCACTGCACTTAATTCTCTCCAAGGTCTCCAGAACTCCGAACACCTTACGTTATTCACATCTCTAAAAGGTGAGGGGAAACGGGCAAAACGGGGCTTACTCTAAAGCTAACTACAGCGATTTCCCCCTTGACTTTAAACTGTGTCGTTCGTAAGACACAGTCCAGCAAGAATGCATCTCTAAGGAGCTAAGGCCGGTGGAGAGAGCCCTCCGGATTGTTTGCTCTCTCCTCCTCCCCTCTTCAGCACAGTGAACCGTTTGTTTCTCTTCTGTGTCTGCTGCCACAGTGTTTGTGCCAATCCCTTGGTCAAAATCAGCTTTCCTGAAATGTGCCATATTGTGGCTTCTAAGCCTCCGCTACAGTAAAGGGTGACGATAATGCAAGCAGGGAGGGGGCGGGGGGCAGCCTGAGACGGCTGGGTGCTGGGGTGACCACCTCAGGGGCGGGTTTACCCTCTCCCGGAGAGGATGAGGAGCTGACTCGTTCTCCCACAAAGGGATATACCCAAGGCGTTCTTTCCACCCCCTTCGTATTTACGAGAAAATTAAACCAGAGACTGCCGGGCGACAAATGGAAGCAGCAGAAAAAAAATGGGGCCTATACGGGTTCCCAGCACCTGAACAAGATGCGGTAGAGGAAAGGGAGAGAGCTGGCAGCTCCTGGGACCACTTCGACACAAACCCTACTAACAGTCACAAACCTACCTCCTTACCCAAGCGGCTCTAACCCGCTACCGGCGACGAGTGCGCCCCCTCCCTAACTCCCACTCTCAAGGGGGTTTAACTGCCAGTTTCCCCTTCCCCAACCCTAAAACCCGCCATAATGCTCCCTTCCTAGGGAAAAGGAAGAAAAAGGATATATTCGAATCAAACAAGCAACGTCTAGCCCCCGCCAAGACACCTGAGTCAACGTCGACTCCCCCACACCGTAAGGATAAAGATGAGAAAGCCCCCTCCCCCTGGCAACACACGTCCCTCCACCCCGCAAACCCCAGGAACTCCCAAGGAGACGACAGGCACTGACCTGTGATGTTCACACACCAGACACCCGAACCCCGTTATTTGCTCGACCCCCAAGGAGTCTCTCCACACCTCCGCGGTCAGACGATCCCCCGACAGCAGCCACTGCAGACACAGGAGCCGGCTCCACACACCCCCTCCCCAAACAGCAGCGCTCAGCCTCTTCGCCAGCAACCGAGGAGTAGGGGAGGGGGCACAGAGACAGTCAGCAGGAACGCAGAGGCTACGGCGAGGCTGCTCAGAGTGTCTATGCCCCCTCTATTTGCCGCTTCCGAACTCAGGTACCGTCTCCGACTCGGCCCCCTGCGCCCGCTCAGTGTCACTGCCTCTCGCTCTGGGAAAATGGCGGCTGACGGCGGCGGCCGCGGCGGCGGCGGCGGCCGCGGCGGCGGCAAGTGCACGGGGCCCGCCCGCCCCGCTCCGCAGGGGCAGAGGGGGAGGGGACGAAGCTGCCCGCCGCCATTTTGCTTATGGGCTGCCGCCCGTCGTTGCCTCTCCACGGAGGCTCGAAGACAGCCAACTGGAGGCAGAGCGGTCGACAGAATCTCCGTCTATTTCACAACAGATGCATTCAACAATTCACCGAAGGTTTGGGAAAGTTTCGGTATTTGATGGGATTGGTTCTTTATCCCCTTTCCCTGAGTAGCCCTCAAGTCTGGATATGGGTGAGCTTGGGCGCGACACTACTGGGTGGAAGGATGATGATTGTAGGCCTTGTAAAGACCCCCATCCTCCCCGCAAGCACTTTCTCCCACTCCCAAAACCACCTCTGTCCTGTTCTTTCCTCCCCCCCCCTCTCCCCCCCCAAGTCTGGCCTCTGGAGCGGGGTGAACTCGGTTAGGGTGTCACTCGACGCCCACTAGGGGCTGAGGCGGCTTCAGTGCGCAGGCTCCGAGCACCGGATAAAAGCGGAGCTGTTGAGTCCAGCGCCGTCTCGATGGAGGAGCGAGAAACGGAAGAGGTCGGGGGGAGAAGCAACTGGAAAAACACAGCCACCGTCAGCGCCGCCTCCCTGCCACCGTGTATCGGGGTAAAAAGCTGTCGTTGCCGTCGGTGCAGTTGCCGTCGCTACCTCCTGCTTCTTTGGCCCGGGGAACGATTTCCCCGCCGCGGGATAATGTGCGGGGAGGGGATCGGGAATTCGTTTAGATGGCAGTTGACTAAACGGGGGAGGGTCAGACAGACGGTTATCGAAGAACAAAAGGGAAGGCCAAAGAATAAAGGGTTTCCCCAGTAAAATGACACGGTGATTGCGGTTCCTGTTTTCGGGGTCTTTCCCCGAAATGGCGGTTTCCGTCTTCTTGCTCCACAGCGACCCGGAGCGCTCGGTAAGCGGGGTGGGGAGAGGCAGAGGTGGTCCATGCAGCCAATCAGTGTCTGATGTGTTCTCTCGAGCGCGTCCTGATTGGCTAGCAGTGACCTCATGCTGCAGCAGCGGGTGGGGCCAGAGCCGTAGGGGGAGGCTGTTGCAAAGGCCGAGAGGGAGAGTGACGATGGTGTTCGTTGCTGCCGCGGCCGATTCGGAACACAAGCCGTGGCGAAGGGAATCTAAAGGCTCTTCCTTGACTATTTTCTCCTGTCCCTGCGCGAGGTGAGGGCCCCGGCTCGGCCTCTGCGAAACTTTGGGGCGCTGGCGCGGATGAGGAAACAAATTCTCCCGTGACTTTAGTAACTGCGTCAGGGCAAGATGGCGCTGGGTCTCCTTGGGGCGCGGGGGGAGAGGCACGTCCACCGTCGCCGCAGCGCATGTGACCGGGCTGCATTCCTGTGGGGTTTGGCTCAGACCCAGGCGGGGGCGGGGGAGGGGAAAGGGCTGGGGCGGAGTAGTCTGTGGTGCGGTCGGCGGCGGCGGCCTGAAGAGGAAGAGTTGACTGAGGGCGCTTCCCCTCCCCCATACTGCTTAACAGTTGCGGCTCGCTGGGGAAAGCCCCCCGAGGGACGCTCCGGATGGGGCTGTGACGGCTGTTGGTGAAAGGAAAGGCTTGTCGCCCTATTTCTTATCTGCCTTTCTCCTTACAAAGTATACTTACGTAAGGTAGCAGGTCCCTAATGTGGGAGCTGGAATCCACGAGTCGGGAAAGGCCACTGGACTGAGTAAAGAGGCTAGCTGCTTGGGCTACAGCGCCGAGGAATATCGATTAATTTCTGAGAAAACTTAAGTTTCCAGATTCGAATAGCAAAGTAATCTTTTAAGTTTGGAATCAAGTGTAAAAAGCGTGATGATCATACCCAGGAACACTTGTAATTTCCTGAACGTTAAAAAGAAATCAAGGAGTATACCATCTGAAGTTTGAGGGCCCTTTTCAAACTTGTCGCTTCTATCTGTATTTACTTTCTTCCCGTTTTCTCCCTGTCTGTATATCCTACAAGAATGTGAAATCCTATCTGAATTTTTTTTTAATTTAGACGTGATTAAGTAATACAATAAAAACTGCTAGTATTGTAATATACATGAAGTAAGGGCGTTTTCAGTATTCCTGGTCTCCTGTTGTTTTTCTGTTGTCCTCTTAACTGTGGTTTTTAAAAATAAAAATGAAATTGTAATCATTTTTGGTAACTGTTATTCATTAAGATTCCTGCACCATTATGAAATATTAAAACTTGCCTCTTTAAATCACTTTTGTCTAAGTAAGAATTTTAGTTTTAGTATTTGAAACTTTGCTAGATGAAGATTTCCAGCAGCTCAAAAGTTCTTATGGTCAATATTAGCAGATTAAGTAGGGAAGTCTAATTTTATTTTTTTATTGTTCCCACTTGCCAAAGTAGTATAGCAGCCATTAACTGAACTAGAGAAGAAAAAGGGCTTCTCACCTTGGGTGGTGTTGAGTGAGAGCTGGAAGTTATTCAACAAAGACTTTTCCATCTAAAACCTGACTTGCTTTTTTACTGAATATCTATATTTGGTGCTGTGAGAATGTTGGTCCTACAAAGAAGTTTAACCTGGAACCAAGGTTGAGCTATTTCGTCTTAGTTGTAGACTTGGTAGTTTGAAAACAAGATTGAATTTTTAATGCTTTAGTAAAAAGATTTTAAAATTAAACTTTTTTGTCCACTCTATAAATTGGGCTTTTTTTCCTGTAAGAATTCTTGAGTAATTTCAGGACTCTATATTACATATAAGTAAATGTCTCATTCCCCTTAAAGGAATTTTCTTCTGGCTTAGAAAAGAGGGACTAAATATGAAGTCAGTAGATTTAAATGTAATTTTCAAAATGTTATAACTTCACTGTGCCTTAATAAGGAAAACAGGCCATATTGCAAGCTAATGGAACCAAATCCTTGTGCTTTTAATCCGTTTGTGTCCTCACTGTTCCTGATTGCCAAATCCATGAACATATTTAGCTCTTATTTTTCTTTACTTTCCTGTGACTCTTGAAATAGTACTTGCAGTTACTTGTCTTTGTCTACCTTCTTGGATTTTATGTTCTCCCTCGACAATTTCATTTGTGCCCATTCTCTAATTAAACATCCAAATTTTCATCTCAGATTTGCAGATGCAGTGTTCAGGTTTACCAAGGGCCACAGGCTTCCTTAGGGTTGCAAAGAGCTCCACACAACTTACTGACTGAACAACAGGCTTCCTGAGCTCATTAAAAAAGAAAAAAACTAGGTACTTGATCCCAAACTGTAGCTTTCAGACTAAATCAACAAGCCAAAAACAAAAAGCCCTCTTTTGGCCCTCAGAGTTTTGAGTAGAGGTTAAGGGCTGATGATGCTCAGCAGCAAGGTTTCCTCCCCTTTCATGTGTGATATGGGGAGGGGAGGCTGCTAATGGGACAGAGATAGTGCTGCCCCCACAAAGATGGGAAAACAGCAAATGGCCTTAGTATTTTTTAACGTTCATATTTCTCACCTATTAATGGACATTTTAACCTACAAACTTCAACGATATCTGAACACCAGAAATTATTTGGGTTTTATAGTCCCTTGATGTATTTGGGGCTTATCATGTAGTACTGCTTGCTCTGATATAGACAACCCAGTAAGTACTGCCCTTGTGTTTTTGTCACTTGTCATTTTATGTGTTACTGTGTCAGCCACTAGCAGCTACATGTGTTTTATGTATTATAAGGTTGGCATTCCAATAATAGGGCTTATTAAAATGGTATGTAAAATGAAGCCCTGAAGGAAATCAAATTTGAGCTTTTAACATAAACACTGATAACCCTTCTGTCTTAAAGCTTTTGGGGGGATTTTTGAATAGTCATTGTCTGTTAACTTCATTTTTTGACATTTGCTGAAACTAAATTCATAGTAAAAAAAGAAATCATCTTAATTACATGTGACTTTCAGTGGATTTTGTTTTTATATAAAACTCCTGCTTCACCTCTGGTTTTAATGGCCTTTAAATGCAGAATGAAAAGATTTATATCTGAGAACTGAGTTGAAACCATTAAATACACCTTAAAATATTATAGTTAAACAACATACACAGTTTGCTTAGTTTAACTTCCTGGGGGTGGGTGGGCACAGATTAAGTGCTATCTTATTCTCCCTGGACAAGGTGTTTGTGTTAACACTAAAATTCGTATTTGCAAGTGTTGGTCAAAAAAAACTTTCCAGGGTTGTGGATACCTTAGGTCAAATTGATGTTTTTCTCTTAAGGAGAGTTAATAAGTTTGTTCTTCTATCTAAAAGAAAGTTACCTGCTCTCAGCTATTGAAAAAGATCAGGTCCATAGTCTCTTCCCTGTTGACTTGTTTATGTTTAGTTCAAGTTTGAAACATCTGTAAAGACGGGATTTCACCTGGAAACTAGAAAAATCGTGTTCTTTTATCTACATGAGGCAAATAGGAAATACAAAAACTTACAGACCCCACCTTCTCTGAATGATTTAGGAAAAGTATTTTATGCCTTTTTTAATGCCATTTTTTTCTTCAGTGCTTATGTTTGCCATAAATTCTGCTTGCTTCAGTGTTGATCTTGCACTTAAATTTCTTACAAAATAAAACTGGGTTTGGGGTATTTTTGTTTTTCCTTTATTATATGCATACAACTTAACAGAAAAGGACATTGTCAACCTTGTGTTTCTGAGGTACAGAATATACCTTCAGTAAACAATCTTTTATATGGTGCTGGTTCTATTAAAAGTAATTTGGTTATGGACCCTGGGTAAATGGTATTTCCTGCAACTGAAAATTAAGCCAAGGTATATTATGTGATTATTTATAGGGATGATATCACTTTAATATATTTTATCCTCAAAAGTATTTATTTTTAAAGGTGATGGTAGTTTAGTCACTAAGTTGTGTCTGACTCTTGTGACTCCATGGATTCACATGGACTTGTCAGGCTCCTCTTCCATGGGATTTCCCAGCGAGAATACTGGAGTGGGTTGCCATTTCCTTCTCCAGGGGATCTTCACTACCCAGTGATCAACCCAGGTCTCTTGCATTGCGGGTGGATGCTTTACCAGATGAGCCACCAGGGAAGTACCCTCTCAAAGTACGTTAATATTTGTATCTTAGATTTAAAACCACATTATGGTTTTCTCTCTGCAATTGCTTTGTTCTTGGGACAGACTGGAACTGTAGCTCTAAGTTCAATCAAATAGTTTGCATTCCTAACATATTTAGGGCTTCCCTGGTGGCTCAGACGGATGGGAGATCCAGGTTCAGTCCCTGGGTTGGAAAGATACCTTGGAGAAGGGAATGGCCACCCACTCCAAGATTCTTACCTGGAGAGTTCCACGGACAGAAGAACCGGGTGGGCTACAGTCCATGGAGTCACAAAGAGGTGGACACGATGACTAATAACTTTTCACACCATATTTAAGATACATGGAAACATGGAAGATGATTCCTAGCTCTTACATTTTTCAGTTCGATTGACAAGATATACTCCTTTGAAAAATTATATATGACTGAAGAGATATTCTACCGATAACATAGAGGTCAGGGGTTCACTTGTACCATCTTTGAACTTTAAATGACTAAAAGTTAACTAGTTCCTCTTCTCCACAAACTCAGCCCTTTAGGTAAGTTTTATCTTAGGAAATAAGACTATATACAACTGTTTGCATTTATAACATTTTGTGAAAGTTCTTTATTAAGTGCTCCTGATGCAGGTGGTGTTATATAACCTATAGTATGTGATTCCTTAGAATATACCTCTTCAAAACTCCTTGGTCTATATGCTAATTCCCTTTGCTAGTTGCTACTCCTGTCCTTCCTGTTTTTATTAATTGCTTTTTTCTGCTGCTTGTTTCCCAGTCTTATGTCCACAATCACCTTTTGTTGTTTAGTTGCTAAGTTGTGTCCAACTCTGGGACCCCATGGACTGTAGCACACCAGGCTCCTCTGGCCTCCACTATCTCCCATAGTTTGCTTAAATTCATGTCTACTGAATCGCCTTTACACAATCAATTCCCACCCTTTTATCTATTGATGAACTCCAGAATCGTCTCTGAACTCAATTGGAACAGCCAAATATCTCACACATCTCTGAACAAATTCAAAACTGACCTTCTTTCTCTTAGCTTTTCTCCTTTTGTTTCCTTTTAATGGTTCTCCTAGGTAAATTTATATAATCAAACATTTTTCCAATCAAGTTTTTTTTGCTTAAAACACTCAATTAGTTTGCCACATTTGAGGATCAAGCTACAACACACCCTATGGCATGCAGCGTCCTTCATCTGTCTCCTGTTTATCTCCAGAAAATGAGATATTCCCTTTTCTTTGTTAATTCTGTGTCTGTCACACTGTCCTGTTCATGTTCTTTTCCGTTATAGTTTATGAAATATTGGTAGGCAGTGTCTCATCTTTGTAGCTAACGTGCAGAGTTCCTGGCATATAACAGGCACTCAGTTTTGTTGCAGGAATAACAATATGTGTTCTGATGCTAACTGCCTGAACATTTTGCCATAGCATGTGTTTATAGTAATGATATCTAGTCAGTTGGATATATAAATGGATGGAAAATGTTCTGGTTCATTCTATACCATCATGTTACAAAACTTTTGGGGTTGTTCTCCCACCCACCCATCCATTTAACACCTATTTTGCCAGTGTTGTTAGTCCTCAAATCTGCTTTCTGCCACCTCGTCCAAGTGAATTTAAATATTCACTTAAATATTTGTACCTGTTATTGTACAAGCTAGGGTTTCCCTGGTGGCTCAGTTAGTAAAGAATCCGCCTGCAATGTGGGAGACCTGGGTTCGATCACAGGGTTGGGAAGATCCCCTGCAGGAGGGCATGGCAACCCACTCCAGTATCCTTGCCTGGAGAATCCCCATGGACAGAGAAGCCTGGCGGGCTGCAGTCCATGGGGTCACAGAGTCAGACACGACTGAGCGACTTAAGCATAGAATAGGACTAGTCTGTATTCTGTTAATTTATAATCTGGCTTGGGTTTGGGCTTCCCCAGTGACTCATGGTAAAGAATCTGCCTGCAATGTGGGAGACCCGGGTTCAGTCCCTGGGTTGGGAAGATCCTCTGGAGAAGGGCATGACAATCCCCTCCAATATTCTTGCCTGGGGAATTCCGTGGATAGAGGAGCCTAGTGGGCTACAGTCCATGGGGTGCCAAAGAGTTGGACACAACTGAGC